CGGTGCTGGGTTGGGTTTGATGGGGGGTTTTTTTTTTCGTTGGCAAGTTTGGACGTACCCCGCGATAACGCGCTGCCCACTGTGAAGAGGACTTGCTGGTCGCTTGTGAAGCCATACTGGCAAGTGTATGTGTGGGGAGTGAGCCTGACAGAGCAGTCATGCAGTTGGGGCGAAAAGGAGAGGTCGGCTCGTGGAACTGGTGTTGAGGGGATATGTGGTGTAGGAAATCCATCATGGTGCCTTCCCGCCACTGTCGCAATTATTTGAGGTGGGTGGGGCACACTGTCACACTTGTACTTTTCGTCAATGGTCATCGCGTGCTCCCTACCTCGTAACGACTCTACAATATAAAGTTATAATTATAATAACGGGAGAGACTTGGGACGGATGGTTATTACCACCCGTCGGAAAACTTTGTTGGCCAAACAAGGTATTCGTAGCAGGTTGCTGCCCTGCAGTCTCTGTGCTGCACCAATCGCTCATCGAACAGGTAGTTGCAGTAGTTTTAAAAAGACGAACCTCCCTCTTCCATCTAGTTCTTAGGCAACACTGAAATCGTGCACGGTCAGCGTTGTCGGTTCCTGCGTGTTGGTTTCTGTGACAAGACCCATCCTAGAACTCGATCCACAGCGCATCAGCTACCCTCGTCAAACACAACTGTCACCCTACACCACCGAAATGCGACCCAATGAACACCATCACTGCAACGTTTCAAACAATCCCCAGCGCAATTTCAGTTATTTCCAACAATAGTCAGCGCTAGAGGGCCATCCGGCGCACTCGCTCGGCGGCGGTCGGAGCTCCTCCGGGCCCTGTCCGGCGCGTGCCCCACACGAGCTCCGTCCAGTGCATGGATTCGCTCTCCGAAAGGTCGGGATCAAGGAGGGCAGCATGTTGCAGCAGCACGTCAAACTACGCCTTCATAAAGGTATTGGCTTGCTGGGGGCAGCGCCATCTGGTCATGCTGCGTCGCAAAGTCGCCTCGGACTACTGCGCAATCGCAACGACGTCCTCGGGGGATGCTTCTACCGCCAGCGCCTCACCTACGATTGTAAGCTCTGTTTTCCTGTAGGTCTCACAAAAATGCTCAACTTTCATTATAGTCTTTAACCAACAAATATTCGCTGTGTACTGTAACAGGGACGCTTCTGCCGCAGCCGGGGTGCGAGTGGCTGTGGATCCGGAAGCTGCTCGGGCGGCTGAAGGGGGCATAAGCTGGCTCTGCAGAGCCTTGCCAACGGATTGCCTGTGGCATATTCTTAAGTGCGACGAAGTATGCATGCCAAGGCTACGTGCTATCGCATCCCGCCTTTCCACTACTCTCAAAATAGGTAAATGAGCCGCTCGCGTTTGCGGGCAGGTCGACAAAATCCAGGCCAGGGATGTGAAAAACGCCTCCGATAGAAAGAGTGCCTTCAGGTAGTTCAAAGTGTGTGTCATTTCGCATCCTCTTCTGAAACAATGCACTGTTTGAGTCATTAATATAGCTGCAGTATTAGCCTCGATAGGCATTATTTCCAATGGCGGCGCAAAAGTTCCTCTTTCGCGTCAATTGCCCGGTGGCCGAACCCGTCAGCCAAGCAAGTGCAGCCTCGGGCTGCACTTGCTCTGTCATACGTGAAGCAACTGGCCAAACTGATCAGTTGTACTCTCATTTTTCCAAGTGACGTGCTAAACCTCCTCTTGTCGCAGCGTGGCAAATTCTTTGAGCATTCTATAAAAACCGCACGGGTGACGGTTTGTTCAGTATCATTTATTCTGGCCGACACACCCAGCTATTACCACTCTTTCCACTTCTATAAGCTACCTTTTTCTAGTCGCCACTATGATTCTCCCCAGAGAGGCTGTGAAATACCAGGGCAAGGTGGCCGATGTTGCTGAACTTCAGACAATCAACTTTTCTCGTCTAATTTCCCAAGAACCCGTTGAACTCAAGAAGTTGTTGCACTTGTGCCAAACCGAAGGTTTCTTCTATCTTGATCTGCAGGGTCTCGATAGTAGTCGAATGCTCGAAGATCTGCAAAACCTACTGGCCGTAATGAAGAGATTCTTTGACTCGCCGCTCCACGAAAAGAATGAAAGAGGGTTTGAAAGCCAAAGAGACGGGTAATTTCCAACATAGTTCGCACTCCCTTCGCTGTTGTATCTTCGTTAATGACTTTGTAGCTACGAGGCAATCGGAACCCACGCTGGTATTGTAGAGGGCACCAGAGATGGTTACGAAACTCTCAAGGTAAGCCGCCTTTGGGCCGAGATGTCGTGGTGGGATCTAACGGATTTCTTATACTTCTCGAGATGTGCTCTCGAAACCCAACCCAGCTGTCCCTAGCATTGTGAAGAACGAGGTCCCGACGTTTCGCAACTTCGTCGCTGGCTCCAGTATCATTACAAGGCTCATTCTTGCTAGCTTATCAAACGCTATGGGCCGTTCCGGGGATACTCGGTTTGAGTGCTTTCATCGCGACAACGAGCCGTCCAATACTACCCTTGTCATGTTCCGCTACGTACCAGGCGATCTGAGAACAGATCAGCGTGTCGGACACCAGCAACACACCGATATTGGTTCTTTGACGCTTCTTTTCAGTGAGCAGTGGGGTCTGCAGGTTCAGCGCCCGGGAGCCGAAGCATGGGAGTTCATCGAGCCGTTGGCTGGACATGCTGTTATTAATGTTGGCGACTCTCTGCGATTTGCATCTGGTAACAAGCTTTACTCATGCATTCATCGCGTCGTCCCGATCGACAATCCGGAGCCGCGCTACTCGATTGCATACTTTCTCCGCCCAGAGGATAACGTTGTGTACAAGGACAGCAATGGCAGAGAAATCCGCGCCAGCGACTGGCATGATGAGAAATACAGCGTGTTTCAGCAGGATCATAAAGCCCAGGAAGCAAGCTACTCTGTCTTGATGGGAGGAATGCAGGAGGTGCTCAAGTCATAGAGACCAGTTCGTGTCGGACATAATGTCAAAGAATGCGGCTAGTACGAAGAAGGTGAAAGGAGAGATAGCAAAAATATCGTGGCGTAGTAGCAAGTAGTTCCCAATAATGACGTTATTGATCACTGGAGGAGGGAAGTCCTCCCCCAGTGGCACCTCGTTGCGTTATCGCTCTTTTATAGCTACTTATTCGCAAATGACTATAAATAGGTCGTGACACATAGCAAGTTCCGTAAAGCACTTTGGTATACGATATGCACCAGAAGAAAGAGGGTTTCTATGCTACTTCCATCGAAACAGTCTGTAATTATATGGCATCTTCAATCTTTGTGCAACTCCGATGCCGCGACCACGAGTAATTAATAAGAGCACAATTGTTGACCGAGTAATTAGATCCTGCAGTAGCGAGTATAACTGAGCCACTACCCACACCACATGTAGATTCGGCGCAATTTGAGTCAATGCTTTTGCTTTCGCACACCTCGTTGATTTGAAATTGAAAAAGTCGTATTTCCCAAGCAATTTATGACAAGGCTGTGGAGCTGCATTTGCCACTTCGGCCAGCCAGCCCCTTCTCTGCAGTCCCTGTGTCCTTCGTAAAAACATGTGGACAATCGCACTTGTCCTTTTGACCGCCCTCTAAGCTCCGAGCATACTACTGTCTCATTATTTCCCCCTGATATCACTCGGTCGAAAATAAATCTCCTGCGACCTATTAATGCCCATAGAGAAGGCACGGACAGTATCATGACAGCTATGGCCAGTCCGATTGTGTTGCCTACCCCGCATATGGACACCCTGGTTGTCGGCTTCGAAGGCCTTGCAGATCCTTACGACCCCCTCAACTGGCCAAGGAAGAGGAAGATGAGGACGAGTATACTCTATTGCGCAACGAGTATGGCCTCGGTGTGGGCCAGCACAGCGTAGGGCCTTGAAACCCCCAACAATAGGACCATTCTTTGACATCTGCAGGTACGCTCCGGCCACGTCCAACATTGCACACCGCTTTGAAGTCGCTACAGAGATTGCTCTGCTTGGTACAAGCCTTCTCTTGCTCGGGTAAGCTGGCATAACTTTGCAGCTACCGCCTTTCCACTGTCGCAACTAACTGTTTGTTCGTCGTACTAGATGGGGGTTCGGGCCTTTGATATGGGCTCCAATGTCTGAGGTATACGGTCGTAAATGGCCAATCTTATTGCCCTTTCTGACATCTGCCATTTTCTCTTTTGTAAGTGGTGCAGCACCAAATATTTCTACCCTCCTAGTCACTCGCTTTCTCACCGGGTTTTTCGGAGCGGCCCCCATCACTTGTGCAGGAGGCGCATTTGTTGACATGTGGAACGCATCCGAGCGCGGTAACATATTTGTCCTATATACGATCTGCGTGTGCGGTATCCCGGTAAGAATGAGCGAAATTGCTTATATCGGCTTCTGATTCGCTAACTGTAATCTCGACAGGCTCTTGCCCCAGTCATAGGAGGTGTCATCGTGCTGTTCGAGGTTAATTGGAGATGGGTTGAATATGTACGTACGTCTCCCATGACCCTTCGCAGGGCAAGACCTATACTGACTTAGTCGCCGAGATCACCGCTATTCTACAGAGCACGATAATTGTTATTGGTCTTTTCTTCATCGATGAAACATATGCGCCGACCCTTCTTGAATTCAAAGCATCAAGACTACGCAAAGAAACAGGCATTAAGTATCACGTGGGAGCTGTGACAAAGGTTACTGCTGCAGCTCTTGCCATCAAGTTTGGCCTACGCCCGTTGCAAATTCTTGCGACCCCCATTTGTCTTCTTGTCACGATCTATTCATCGTTCATCTACGGTATATTCTACGCCAGCTTGGCAGCATTTCCCATCTTATTCCAAGACACCCGAGGATGGAATCCTTTGACCGGCGCGCTTCCCTTCTTATCGATGATGCTGGGAATCTTTTTAGGAGCTGGATTTAGTGCATGGAGTCAAAAATACTACATCCGCTCGTGCAGATTGAATGACTTCAATGCCGTGCCTGAAGCACGTCTCCCGCCAATGATGTTCTCGTCCACGATTTTAGCAAGCGGTCTATTTGTCATTGGTTGGACGTCATCAAGATCGACACCTTGGATTGCGACTATCAGTGGGGTCTTCATGCTCGGGTTTGGCTACTACGTGATCTTCACAAGTGCTCTGAACTATCTAGTTGATTCCTTCCAGTGTTGGAGTGCAAGTGCGCTCGCCGCAAACACATTTGCGAGGAGTGTTTTTGCCGCTGGGCTTCCACTTGCGATACCTTATATGTTCGCCCGTTTAGGCAACGAATGGTCTTTTACTGTTTTCGCGGTATTCGCTGTCATCAACATCCCTATACCGTTCATGTTCTACATTTACGGCTCGCGAGTTCGAGCAAAAGGACGTTTTACGAACAATTAGTGCTTGGAAATAGAAAGACAGTACGCATAAGGCTAAGGCGGTGAATCAATCAAGCCAGTAGTACCCAGCCATCCAGGAGTTATCGAGATTCTCGGAAGGCCAGGGCTAAACCATGATCGGAATTGATCGAAATCTATTTTATAACATTGAACAATACATGTGCGAAACCTTACCTCGCCGATGAAAGAAGGTTTATGCCGTACTATCCACGAGCTGTTGAACACCAGGGTTCAATATCGTCGTGACAAAAAAATACATAATACAGAGAGATCATAAGTCGGACTACCAGCATTCTAAATAATCCATACAAGTATTTTGTCCCATCATTATTAGGACTAACAGGGCATACATAGGAGAAGAGATATAGTTCTTAAATTAAAGTTCTATCTAGTAGGATAGTAAATATATGTACTAGATACACTAGGTAATAGGAGATTAGTCCTCTGGCTTCTAGGCTATCTATTATTACTCCTACTAATTTTATGTAAACTAGTTAGATTCCTAGGTATAGAGTAGGTAGCTTTTCGGTATAAAGTAAGACTTTTTTTTAGTATAAAGTAGGTTATAATTACCTTGAAAGTTATTATATAATTACTATTATAAAATATTACTCAATACCTTATATTAAGGATTATAGGATATATAGAGTAATTGTTTTTCCTTGTAGCTTTATCCAATGTAAGGCTAATTTCCCTATTATCTTTACTTTCTATTAGTCCTCTATAAGCTGTGTTAGCTGTGCCGCTGTCTTATATAACCATAACAACGCTCCACAATTTGTCCCTCGTCATCCCCTTTCACCTGCTCGTCATCCGATTGCCAAGCATTGGCCAGTTCATCAATCGCTTTTTGTGCCATCGTGTCTCTTGAACCATGGTGTCTTATTATTACCCTTCGTTGGACGCCGTCCCCGGCGCCATGTACACGCCACCCGGTGTACCCGTCCGCTTCACGCCCGGCCGGCCCACCCCGTACCAGGCCCAGTCGGAGCTGTACGGCGCCCTGTCCGTCGTCGACGATGCCAAGGACAAGGCCAAGCAGCTGAGCGCCGAGGCGCAGCGGGAATTCGACCGCGCCGCCATCCGAGCCAAACCCAACCCGGCCAAGATGGAGCTCTACTCGGGATCCTACTACGCCGCCTGCACCTTTGGCGGTCTCATGGCCTGTGTCAGTTGAACTCGGGCGGGCGCGCCCTTCCCGCGCAAGAGCGGCAGATTGCTAACACATGCACGTCCGCGCGCAGGGTCTCACCCACGCCGCCGTCACGCCGCTCGACCTCGTCAAGACGCGCCGCCAGGTCGACGCCAAGCTGTACACGAGCAACGTGCAGGCGTGGAGCAGAATCTACCGCGCCGAGGGCGTCCGCGGCATCTTCACCGGCTGGTCCCCGACGCTGCTCGGCTACTCGGCCCAGGGCGCCTTCAAGTACGGCTGGTACGAGTTCTTCAAAAAGACGTACGCCGACGCCGCCGGCCCCGATGCCGCCGCCAAGTACAAGACGGGCCTCTACCTCGTCGCGTCGGCGTCGGCCGAGTTTCTCGCCGACATTGCGCTCTGCCCGTTTGAAGCCGTCAAGGTCCGCTCCCAGGGCACCATCCCCAACCCATACAAGGGGACGCTGGACGGCATCAGCAAAATTGTCGCGGCCGAGGGCGCGGCCGGCCTGTACAAGGGCATCTATCCGCTCTGGGGCCGCCAGATCCCGTACACCATGATGAAGTTTGCCTCGTTCGAGACGATTGTCGAGATGATGTACGCGCGCCTGCCGGGCAGCAAGGCCGACTACTCCAAGGCCGCGCAGACGGGCGTCTCGTTTTCGGCCGGTTATCTCGCGGGTATTCTGTGCGCCGTTGTCTCGCACCCGGCCGACGTCATGGTCAGCAAGCTCAACGCGAGCCGCGCGCCGGGCGAGGCGTTTGGCGGCGCCGTCGGCCGCATCTACAAGGACATTGGGTTTGGTGGTCTCTGGAACGGCCTGCCTGTTCGTACCGTCATGATTGGTACCTTGACTGGTCTGCAGTGGATGATTTATGTAGGTACCCCCCACGCTTTTCGTGGTCTTCCTGTGACATTGGTGCTAATACAGACGCAGGACTACTTCAAGATTTTCATGGGCTTCCCGACCACGGGCGGTACAGCACCTCCCGCCGAGCAGAAGAAGTAGGTAGGATGGGCTGTCGCTCTTTGACCTTTTGTATTGTTAGTCCTACCTTGTTGTCCGAAATACCAAGACAAGTTTTTTATTGCCCTCTCAGAGTCTGAGCTTGCTTGGTTTGACCATCGGATATGTAGTCCAATGATCGATCAACATGTAACCAAACGTAGACTAGATGTAAGTTAAGGATAAGATCCACACGCTCTCCCTGTGGGGGTTTCGGATGATAGGATCGTCAAGCGAGCTCTCTCGCTAGTAGTGGTTATGGTTCGTTACAACCCTGCCTTACTACGCCGCTAGCGAAAGCCTAGCCAGACTTGCTATTCCGAAGTCACGAGGCTGATGTATATGCACAAGCTGAGCTCTACGGGTGGACGACGCTATAATTGGCTTCTAGGAAGACATATGAGGCGAAGGTCGTTGCTACGGATAGTACCAGGGAACACATTCGGTCTTCTTTATCTATTGCGGCCAAGTATGACCATACATTAGTTACGGGTGATAAGAGAGCAGAGGGCTGCGCTCATCGCATGTTAGCTGCGACTTGTGGTCACCAAAACTTGGCAGCTAGCCAGATTGGCTAGGGTATTGGGAGACCATCCACCACGACGTCGATGGCTTCCGGCGCGCATGAGAACGGGCCGAATCAGCCGCGGAAGGAAATATGCGACGGGAGAAACTCGAATTCCATCGCACTGAGAATTTGGGGTTGCATACGAAGCATCCTGACGGGATAAGGGAGCTACTGGTAGCTGCCACGCGTTGACAGCCGCTTTCAAAGGGGAGCAACCAACGGCACATGTTCGCATCGCACCATGGCACCACCCCGCAGTAGCTGGGGTGCGCTATCGCGACGCCGCGTGGGGTTTTGAGGATGAGCCACTCGCAGCTGCCTGTTTTGATGAGAAAGAAGGGAGCTCTTTATCTAGGGGATGCCGGTGGTTTGAATGCGGGAGCAAGGTCAATTAGGCAGTACCCACAAACTGGAGCATGGTCAGTGGACGGTGTTCTAGGTCGCCAGGGCTGTCGGCGGCCACTCTGGCAAGTAATCATGGCGGAAGACCAGGCTCGAGTAACGACGCACCCGAAATTATTGGCTGTAGCTGTTGGGAAGGTGGGGGAGAGGTCGAAACGGCCTGCAAGCGCCGTCGAAACGCTAACTAGCGAACAGTGCATGGCAGTATGCAGGACACAAGTGAGCAGCATTGGCAGGCTGGGATGAGGGTCGAGGAGGCTGTCTTGCTTGTCGTGCGTTTGCCCTGTAGCAGGGCGATATATTGGTCGTTTGGCGACGACCATGGCAGCCAGGCAACTGGCAGGACGTCATTGTAGTCTGAGGATCGCTGGCAATGTAACTAGGATTGCAGGATGGGTGGGCTAGCGGCTGCGGATGGATGGGTTGGGGCTGAATCGCGGGTGTGGTGAAGCTGATGGGGATGGGATGGAAGTAATTCGTAGTGGTGTGAGGGATGGCAGGGCTAATTTACTCACGTACTCGGCGCCATAAATTGTTAGTGCCCACCAGCGGCGTGGCAAACGAGCGTATCAAAACACTCTGATAGGTACCTTGGCTCTGAGGAGGATTCGTTTATTGCATCAGTTGGCTGGACTATCAACCGAGCAGCAGCGTCAATGGTGGTGCCAACTGCAACGTGACGCTTGAATGTGATACCACTAGCAGTGCGCATCAGGATGGCGCATGAAACGACCAAACAAGAGAGGCGAGATATAATGATATTATTAGCAGCCTGCAGTAATGCGCATTGCGTACCAGGAGGTCGACGCTCCCCCAGTGGCTTGCGTTCGGGACTAATTAAGGCTCCCTCCCCACTGCCTGCCCCGTGGCTCCCCTGCAAGAGGCTTCTGTTCCCTCCAAAGCCGATTTCCCTCCAAAAGTCCCCTGGAAACCCCCCAAAACGCACAGTTGACCTACCCATGGGCTAGTACGGAGTAGGAAATCCGCCGTCCAATAGCGGCTTTTTGACTTCTTTCAGCGCCCGCAGCCCGACTTGTTGGTCTGCTGCCCTCGTTGCCTCGTCATCGTCAGCTGCCTCCCATGCTCAACCTTATTTTGTGCCATTTCTTTGTTGCGAATAGCATCGCCTACTTTTGGACTTGTCGTTGTTTTCCGACTCTTTTTCTTCCACCATCATCATCCATCCCACTTGTGCGCCTTGGCAATTCAGGCACACCCCGGCCCGCTGTACCAGCACCCTAATAACCCAAGCCACAGCCACCAAAGACACCAAGAACTTGCCCTGGCCGCAGCCTCAGCCCGGCTCTGGTGCTCCGTCCGTACTGCAGTCGTTCTGCGCTGCCAAAAATCAAAAGTCTCACTTTACGCACCCCAGCCAGACCCAACTCGCCTCCGCATTTCCAACTCCGCTCACTACTAGGTATCCGTACACTGCTCCCCCATCCTCACCACACAACATTAGCTTTTACCACTTCTCTCTTCTTCCGCTTCTGCTTCCACTTGCCATCCTCCCCTTCCCTCTCCCGTCCCCCCTCCCGACTACCCTCCGAATGAGCCCCTCATACCAGCAATTGCCCACGTTCTAGAGCGGCACCCGCGCTGCTGCTCGCTCGCTGTCAGCCTCGCCTGGCCTCGCCCTAGCTGAGGTTCTTCTCGCCCACCACCAACCACCAACCACCAACCACCACAACACAAACACCACGTCTCCCCGCAGACACTCTCGACATACCTGCTTCCACCGACGCTGTGCGCCCTCGCGCTCCCTTGCCGCCATGCCTAGCCTCTTTAACAAAATCAAGAGCTCTGGCACAGTACGTTTGCTCCCTCCAGCACGCGCCTGCCCACCCCCAGCTGCTCCAATCCCGCATGCGCTTTTGCGGGTCGAAGCGTCACCATCACCACGCCGCCAAACGCTGACTAGAATAACATCTATAGCCCTCCACCACGCCTGCCGCCAAGGATGCTACCCCCAAGAAGAATGATATCACCACCGAAGTCACTCCTCTGGAGAAGATGCTCCAAAACGCCGGCGCACTCACTCAAGACGGCCGCGACAGGTTCCTAGGCTTCGAGAACGTAAGTAGATCCCATCTGAGACAGCGTGTCGCCCTCAATGCCCCAACAAACAAGCTAATCCCTACCACGATAGTTTGGAAATACCTGGTAAATAGCACCGTCTGATGCTGACAACGACACTATTAACGCTACCTAGCTACTGCAACTCCATCGTCCAAGCCCTCTTCCACTCCGACCAATTCCGCGAAGGCGTCCTCAACTATCCCTCTCTATCCCCGACCGATACCCCCAATCGCCCCTCGTACAAGCCAAATGTCACTATTAGACCGCCCGTCACACCTGCAACGTCTGCTACGCCGCAAAAGCCGCCCAAACTGTCTACGTCGCAGGCCCTCAAGCAGCGCCACGCCATCAACGCCGGTCAACCCCTTCCCGGCCAACCGCCCGTCAAACCAGAAGACAAACCAGACACCCCAGAATACAAGAAGAAGCAGGCCATGCTCAAAGGTCCAATTCTTGAGCTCGCCCAAGAAAATCATGTGCCCTTTGGCATGGACGAATGTACATTCACGGGGCTCAAAGACATATTCATGGCCGTCACACAGAGCAACTCGAGAACCGGAGTTTTGAGTCCGCAACGCTTCTTGGAAATCTTTAAGCGCGACAATGAGATGTTTCAGAGCTCAAATCACCAGGATGCCCATGAATTTCTACGCCTCGTTCTCACAGACGTCATTGCCAGCGTCGATAACCACGCCAAGCACATTCAAGATCATATCGATACAGGTGCCGCCACGAACGGCTCAATCGAATCTCTTAATAACGGCCTCTCGGTAGGACTCCAATCTGGTTCACCTTACAACTCGCCTGGTACCGGCTGGGTCCACGATGTTTTTGAAGGCATTGTGACGTCAGAAACAAAATGTCTCACCTGCGAGACAGCATCGCGGCGGGATCAGACTTTTCTGGATCTATCTATCGCTCTAGATGAACATACTTCCGTCTCGTCTTGCCTGCGCAAGTTCTCTGCTGAAGAAATGCTATGCGAGAGGGACAAATTTCAGTGTGACCATTGCGGTGGTCTCCAAGAAGCCGAAAAGCGAATGAGGGTCAAGAAGCTACCCAAGGTTCTCACCCTGCATCTAAACCGTTTCAAATACACAGAAGACTATAGCCGTGTCCAGAAGCTATTCCACAGGGTTGTCTACCCCTACCATCTTCGTATGTTTCATACGGCCGACGAGGCGGAAGACCCAGATCGCCTCTATGAACTTTACGCAGTCATCGTTCACATTGGAGGCAATGGATATCACGGACATTATGTGTCTATCATTAAGACTAGAGACCGCGGTTGGCTTTTGTTTGACGACGAGATGGTCGAGCCTGTGGACAAGCATTTTGTTCGAAATTTCTTCGGTGACAGGCCGGGAATGGCGACAGCCTACCTTTTATTCTACCAAGAAACGACATTCGAGAAAGTCCGCGCCGAGCAAGAGGCTGAGGGCAGAGAAGAGGTTCGACTCGCTACAGAGGCCGCCAATATTGCGCACGAGGAAAGCGACAAAGCAGACGAAACGCCCATATCTCGACAAAAGACACAACCAACGCCTGTGCTATCGGAGCAGGACCAACTCTCCAGCTTGGCCCACGCCAGAACGGCACCGGACCTAACGTTGCAGTCGCCAAATGCAAGCCAAGGATTGGTACCCCCGACACCTGCTGTTCCCTCAACAGTAAATTCAGCCAAGTCAAAGGATGAGCTGAAGCGAGAAAAGAAGGAGCGCGAAGCTGCGGAAAAGGCCGCTCGCCAGCATGAGAAGGACGAGCTGAAAGCCAAGGACAAGGAAATGAGGGAGCACGAGCGGAAGCGTCGCGATCAGGCTATTTCCGTGATCCAGGCTCGTCGGCAAGAGCAGGATCAATTGGAAAAGGTTCTTCAGGCGAGCAAGAAGTCAGCTGCTAAGGAAGATGACTCACGGAAGAAAGAGGAGGGCAACGGTGGCGCTTTTGGCTTCCTCGACCGTTCAAAGCGCGGCAGCAAATCAGGCAGCCGCAAAGCATTTGGCTTATTCGGAAAAGAGCGAAACAGCGATGAAGCTGCCGGTGAAGCTATTGTAAACGGCGACGCACCCGAAAAGGAGAAAACAAAAAGCCGGCTGAGCATGGGACTAGGCCGCAAGAAGAGCACCAATCTTTTATCATAGCGCCGGAGTATTGAAATTTGCATCGGCGGGAGAGAGTTTCACATCTCTTCAGGATGATGTCATGTACAATCTGGATCTTTTTTGCCGCTTCACTTTTTTGGACCCTTGGTTATATGAAGCCCGGACGGCTTGTCCGACTATGTAAAAAAGAATTATCGGCGCTGGGGGGAAACGTGTCATTTGTTCTCGGGAGGCAACTGCTTTTTCGAATGTAATCTTGCCTATTTTGGATATTGTTAATATTAGGTTTCCGCTGCCAAGCCTGAGAGTATCGGCAGGCAATTCATTCCTTTTTTCAGCTACGGCGAATAGTTGACCAAGGAAGTGATATCGTTGGCCCTCACTAAAAGCTAAAGCTAGCGTTGTTTGAGGCAATTAAAGGAACAGCACATGCAATCGGGGGGCATTCACTATACATATAAAATGCAAAAATGGAAAGAATATTTTCCAATCACGGAGGGGAAGATGCAAAAAAGAAATCCTTCCTGGAAAGAATCTGGACTAACCGCGGATTGAACGCGGGACCTTTCCGAGTTACACGTTTGAACATGCGAACGGAAAATCATACCACTAGACCATTAGCCCTACTGAGGATATCTGGTTAGCGTTTATTCTGTATTATATCTCTATCCCACTGATTCGCATCACACGCCATCGAAGTCTAGACAAACAGCGCCAGCTCCAGCGCCCGGTACATGAGGAAACAACCATGAAAAAATGTCTCCGCCCTAAGGGGGGGTGTAGTGGGAATGGCTCGGGCGAAGTACCGCCGCGCGTTGGGGGAAACTTGTTAGAATCAGCAGTGGCTTGCAACGTCAGTCTCCCCCCACGGAAGAAACTTATTTCTTCGCCATCCGAAAAAGAATCAAATAGTACTTGAAAGCCTCTTTAACCCTGTTTAGAACAGTATGGTGAAGTGTTAGTTTTCTCATAATGGCCTGCCGTAGGAGGGTTTCCAACTTGTCTCTCCTCGACTTACACGCTGAAAAACTACAAAAGTTGGTCCGGCTCGGTCTTTTTAAGGGTGTCGGGACAAGTTGAAGCCTTTTCAATTTTCGCAGCTGGAGACTCTGCAGAGCTCAAAGTGACCAGAAAATTTGCTATCATGATCTATGGAATTGATAATGAAACAAGTTGGTATGGCAGGCAGCAGCCGCGCCAACTCCACTAATTTTCGCCCCTGCGCGCTTCACGCCAGATCAACATCTCCCATCATTCAAACGCCAGCAGCATCACCAACACATAAAACACTCTACCGAATAATTCTCGCCCCATCTCCGGCCTTCATCTCCGACTGCCACCATCCTCACGCGCGGGGCCCCTGCGCCCAACCAACCCATCATGGCACCCAACCCGTTCGGTACCACCTCCCCTCCCTCCTCACACTCTCTCACCACCTTCCATCGCTAACCCAGACGTGCGCCGCCAGACCTCGCGCTCAACGCGCTGCTCTTCGCCGTGCCGCTCGCGCACCTCCTCGTCGCGCCGCACACCAAGGTCGAGGAGTCCTTCAACCTGCAAGCCGCGCACGACATTCTCGTCTACGGCACGCCGACCGCCGGCGCCGCCCTCACCTCCACCTACGACCACTTTGCCTTTCCCGGCGCCGTGCCGCGCACGTTTACCGGCGCCGTCGTGCTCGCCGCAGCGAGCCAGCCGCTGATTGCGCTCCTCGGCTTCGCCGCCGTCCAGGGCGTGGTGCGCGCCGTGCTGGCTGCCGCCAACGCCGCATGCCTGCTCGTCTTTCGCCGCGCGCTCGACGCCGCGTTTGGCCGGGCTACCGGCCGCTGGTGGGTCGCGCTCATGCTGGGACAGTTTCACGTCATGTTTTACCTCGGCAGGACGCTGCCCAACATGTTTTCCTTTGGTCTGAGTGCGTTTTTTACCCCCGTTTCTCCTCCTTCTTGCCTTGTCATGAAGCTGACTTTTACCCTCCCCCCTTTCCAGCCACGCTCGCTTCGGCGTTTCTCCTACCCAAGGCCACGCCCGCGCTCGCAAACGCGCGTCAGAAGCAGGCCCTCCTGTTTCTCGTGCTCTCCGCCGCCGTGTTCCGCGCCGAGACGGCGCTCCTTCTCTGCAGCACGTGCCTCATGCTGCTCGTGCGGGGGCGGGCCACGCTCGCGCAGCTCATCCCGCTGCTCGCCGCGCTGTCCCTCGGTGCGCTCGCGCTCACCGTGCCCATCGACTCGTACTTTTGGCAGCGCGTGCCGCTCTGGCCCGAGCTCGCCGGGTTCTACTACAACGCCGTGCTCGGCGCCTCGTCCGACTGGGGCACCTCCCCGTGGCACTACTACTTCTCGTCGGCGCTGCCGCGGGTGCTGCTCAACCCGCTCGCGCCGCCGCTGGCCGCACTCGCGCTGTGGCAGCCGGCCACGGCGC